ACCTGAATTTCCTGAGTCCAGAGGGATTGTCTGTATGATTGGAAAATGGTTCAACCTCGCCAGGTTAGACTAACCTGCAAAGGGTGAATCAATTCAGGCTCAGGCTTTTTGAATGTCTGTCCTTAGCCTATGGGTATCATGGAGGCCTATGAGAAACACTCTTTTTTTTTTTTTTTTTTTTTTTTTTTTTTACACAAATGATACATTAAATTAACATCGTCATGAACGTTTTGTTAACTCTAAATATCCACGCACATTCTGTAATTCATCTGGCACTTTCCAGGAGCTACTTGGGTTAAGTCTGCGGAGCCAGTAATGATTCAAAATCTTGTGTACTTAGCTCCTTGGAAGGCATATCATTCTATAACACAATAGTATCAGAAAAACTCCTGACAGTTAGTGAACAAGAGATTTCACTTTGCTTGTCATACAGTGGGTTGTCAATTCCATTTTCCCAGTTAGATAAAAGCTTAGCTGCATTAGATTTAAATAATGGTGAAGTTTGGGGTAAAACTTTCAAATGTACCTAAGTGACATAAGGGTTTAAATTCCAGTTTCAAAGTGACTTTGTCATAGTGAAGCCTAAGTTTCTCTAATAAATGGGGCTCCTACATACCAAAAATGTTTACACATACATTTAAAAAAAATGCACAAGGAAATGTAAAGGGGCAAACTACTACATATACTGCTAATAATCAGTATGTGTATATATTGCTTAAATACACATAAAATCATAGGATTCAAACACAGACTGTTATTTTGCATTTCAAATGTCCAACCTTTTGATGCTACTTTATCTTATAATCTTTATTATAATTCAATACCAATATGTTTTTTTTCTTCCTCTTTTCTTTTAAGACGTTAAAAAAGGAACTTTAAAATGGAAGCTTAACATTTTTTTCCCCTGAATTTTGATCATGGTTTCAATAAACAGTCTTGAATTTTTTATCCAGTTTCTCCCATTTTGTTTCATTTCCATAGGTTTTGTTTTTGTTTTTAATTCCCTTCAGTTTTGGAACTATAAGCAATATTTGGTTAATACAGGAAGTGACCGATTAAATTTATTCTCCCCTCTGCTGATAAATGAAAAATTAAACCAATAGCATAAGAAAGGGAAAAATAACATTAATAACCTGAGATGCAACTACTAGTAAGATGTTGGTAGCAAAAAAAAAGATACTTAGGTTTACATAATATTTGTATTGATAATTCGCCTTTAAAAGATGAAAGATTTTCCATAGCAGACTATAAAACATATTTTATTTACCCTACAGCCTGCAATGGCTCTTTGGGTGTTGAAACCTAGCATTTTCTTTTTGAAGCTGTGTTGTCTCATTTCATTGACCCCTTATGGACTCAAAATTTCTCATTATGAATTTGCAGTACTCATTGCAAAATTTCTTCTCACTCTAAAAAATAGTATTTTGCCCCGTTTTGTTAGATAAACTAATGACAGCACGAATGATACCAAAACTGAGTGAATCCCAGCTCTCTGGTTACAAGTTCAGGCCCTGCAAGATTTAGGAGCCTAGCTTACTGATCATGCTTAAATAGTAGATTTCTCAAGCTGAGCTAAATGTGCTTTTAAGAGTCTTATTTTGATCTCTTATTTCAGGTAACACACAGATCATACAGAACTGCAAATACAGCTTGGAACAGGATTGGCATAGTAGCAATAGAACATCTAAAAGGAAAAAATTAGGCCAGACCTTTATTAAATTTTAAAGTATGCCTTTGCTACACTCTTGTAAAGAGCCAAATAGGGTATTCAACTCTCTGGAGATCACCGGTATAATTTCTTTATCATGTTCCATTTAAAATTTAATTATGTAGTCTACAACAAGAAGAATTTGAGTACTCTAAATAGGTCATGCAATGAACAACCTAATAATATTACAAAGTTTTCCTTGTGAAGATCTTTTCTTTGATGTTATGCTACACACAGAAAACCTCTCTTAGAAAAACAACATTATGAGCTCATACAAATATAGTGTTACACGTTGGCTGTATTGCCACGCTAGAACAGACCATCAGAAACGGCCAGTAAATAAGAACTGACACAGACAAATAGTTTGGTTTTATTCTATTTTCCTGCAAACACTCAAATTATCCATTAAATTTCCTTTTCAGAAGAGTTCATAGCACTCAGGCATTCAACTTTACCCTAAGCACAGCCAAGATCTAGCATTTAACTGTCTTGGCAAAATAAATTCAAAACTATGCGTCTTCCATTTGATAATCATTATTTGAAATGTGATCAACATCACTCAATAGCTGATGCCAATATGAAAAAAAACACAAAACCCAAACCCTTCTGTTACAACGGGAATCTTTTGCTGCCTTTATTCTTTAAGAATAAGCATAGGTTTCTCTCTTGCTTTGTGCAGGAGAGAAGAACATGTTTCCCTTAACTTACAGGTGATTTAGCATTCTGGCAAACTGGAACACCAACTTTTCAAATAGAATCCTACTTTTTAGGGTATAAATTTGGAATATTTTTTTTACCTTGGACAAAGGCAGAAAACACTTAAGAGGCACAGTTAATTCTGAGAATGCCAAACACCCTCCAGATGGGCAGACAAATGCTTACACAGACAGCGGTAATGTAACAAGCACCGGGCTGCTAGAACGGCGGCTGCTGCCCCCATTGCCAGCCGGGCCCCTTTGGCTACCCCTATTGCACAGAGCCTGGTAGTTAGGCCTCCGATACGCAGAGAACTCATATAGCCCTTGGAGGGGCTAAAGAAGATGCCCTTTGGCTATATTTACTAATGCAGGAAAAAATAAAAGATTTCATCAACTTGCACTACAAAACATCCTTGTGACTTACTGTTAGTATTAGAGCAAAGCCATTGAGTGTAGTTGTGTAAATGAGACATAACAGTGTGAACTATGCAGTTTTTTGTCCCATTAGGCACATGAGGGTGACTATGGGCAATATGAACCTATCCAGCAAAATATCTCTTTAAAGAAAAACCAAATGACAGGACCACAGCAGAGAAGGGCTTGAAGACTTGTGGAAGAATGCAAGCGTGCACACAGCTGTAAACATTTGTTTTAATCTAGACAAGATCATTGGTTTTAATATTTATAATATAATTACAAAGCCTCATGCACATTGCTCATATAATCTCATTTTTACTTTTGACATATTACCACCAGACTTTAATTCTGACTGTGGCAGGAATTCAAAAATGCATTTAGGTTATCATTAGTAATGAGACACACAGAGGATGCTTACTCAAGCACCTACTGCAGATTTCTCATTTTAAGTCTGAAACGTTTAAAACTACCAAGATAGAGGTTACTTCTGCAGAAGGGGTGTGATATTCTGAACATGCAGTCAGCTCACAGTTAGCCTAGGTTAAATTAATGACATAACGGGAAACCAGAATTTTTCTGCCTTTAAAACCAGTCCTAAATTATACGGATTATGGAAATGACTAATGTTTTCAATGAAAGAATCACTGTTAAGCTGCTTTTCGAATCACTATTTTTATTTTTGGCCATTTGCAGAATTGTGCGCATTTTGTTTGTTACAACATAAAATTCATTAACCAGTGCAATATTTCAGAGGCTGTTTCTGTTGCTCCAAGGTATTTCATTAGCCTTAAAGCATCAAATGACGGGTACCCTAAAACACAAATATCTGATTATTCTGAACAAGACTGCACCTTCAAAACCACTATCAAGAGAAACAAGCTTAGAAAACAGCCATTAAATAAAGGAAGATGCACCTAATTTTTATATACTGGAACGAAGGAAAGCCAAAACTCTTAATACCACAGTGATCCTCTGGAAAAAAAAAGTTAGGCAGATGTTTTAGCTGCCTTAGAGTGAAAACGAACTGACATGTCTAATGCCCCTATTATCATGTTAAAAAAATCAATTTGGCAATTGCAACAAGGATCTCATTGTTTGCATGTTACATATTTTCATTACGAACAAACAAACTACAACATCATATTCATTGAAAAATAACTAAGCTTATTAAAAAAACCACACAGCTGAATAATAAACAAGCTGCAATGAAATGAGATGCAAAAGGGAACACATGGGTTGTTGCTTGATATTCAGAATGTAAATCTGTCACTTAATAGAATTCAGGATGCCACCCCAGATTTCTTCTTTTTTTCTACTTGCATGATTGCAACATATTGTTTGTCTCATCCAATAATATGTAGGTGGTCTCCCCGTAACCTGTTCCTTGGAAGCTTACTTCCATGACACGCCAATGAGTGGATTGGATCTATGGAGGTTTCCTGCTTTCTAAATGTTGTTTCATTTGGATCTTCATAACTGACTTCTACCCGCAGGTAGAGCATTAAACAAAGTCAAAGCCACCTACAACACGTGTACTTTGAACCTGGCAGATCTCCATCTCTGCAATGCTTGTCCAGAAGCAGCAGACAGCTGAGCTAAGCCTCAAAGCAATTGGAAACATGTTCATTTAGGCTAGGTACAGACATTCAAAAAGCCTAAAGGTGGAATCGGTCCAAGTTACATGGCTTTCTGTAAGCGGCGTAGTTTAGGTTGGTAGCCAACAGAGCAACCATTCACCCTTTGGTGGGGGGAGGAGGGGCTGCAAATCTTAGATTGGGTTCTGCCATTTTTAAACCAGTCTGTGTGTGCTGAACTTCTGTTCTGTTACAGATATATAGACCAGTTTTGTGCACCAAACTTCTGGTCTTCCTTTTCCTTCTGGTCTGTTATGGGTACAGACTCTTTTCCAATCACTTATACCAATAAAAGTGTAATGTCTGTACCTGGCCATAGAGTGATCCTTTTTTGGGGGGAGGGTCACAGTACTTCACAGCCATTGTATTGGATAGGGCAACAAATCAGGTAGATCAAAGTGCTTTCTCCTTATATAAGTATTCCCTTCTTCCCTCACCATGGCAGGATTCTTCATGAAAGAATGATGCTGTCTCAAGAGGCAACACTTATTTCAGCAGCAACCAGAGCTGATATACAGATTTAGTTTAGAACAGCTTGCTTACCTTGGTAATGTTCCAGATAACTCGGCAGTCTCTCTGAAAGAGATATAAGGTAGGAAAAATTGGTTAGTGTTATAAGAGGTTGCAATATTTTTTTCAAGTGAAGACATTTAACACCAGCTGGATTTTCTATACAGACTCACATTGACATCGTTCACACACTTCCTTTGAAGAAACAATATACCCGTAATAACATGTACACTCATGTGATAAATAAGAAATAGATGGTGGAGGTGGATAATAAAGATTTCCCTGGTTTGAATTTTGGATGGTTGAAATTATTTTTATACGTGCAACTTTAAAGTCATGACTTCGAATGCCAAGACTGCTGCTTCCTTGAAAGCCAGAACCTGGTGAGTCCATTTGCCACAGGAGAAAAAAAGCTCTCATTTTGGACTTGGCAGGAATACTGAGTTTTGACTGCAATTTTGTGAAGCTATGATGTACAGACGTTACTGTGGCCCAGGACTGAATCTTCTAATTCTGGGCCTTGGGCAGTAGTAATTTAAAAAGTGAGAACTTACATTTTTCCATGCTGAAAAAAACCCCCCCTTTTTTACTGACAGATACAGGAAATTCACTTTTGGTTTTTTTTTTTTTTTTGTTTTGTTTTTTTTTTTTTTTACAGACTGTCTCTTCCACCTTGGAGAACTCATCACTACCGCAGAGTCTCCCTTGCTTACCTTCACTCATTTTTTACCCCCTTGTTCCCCCCTCCCCTCTCTACGCATTGTTTTCCTAATTTCCACCTATTTATATTCTCACTGACCTCCTGTCACACTTTTAGCTTCTTTCATTCCTTGGAGATCTCAGAACAACGGCAGTCTCTCCCTATGTCTAAAGAAGGGTACTTGTGCCCAAAAGCTTGCAAAGAACTTTGTTCCAACTACTCAGTTGGTCTAATAAAAGATATCATGTCTACCCAAGAACTTTGCCTGCCTATGTCCTTTGACCAACACAGGTACAACCAAAATCAAGCTGCACTACTAAACCCATTCTTGTGAGACCTCAGTATATTCAAAGAGGCAATCTAGTTTGAGAATTTGTAAGGAAAAACTGTTATTTTTAACACACTTCTTCTCAAAAACCAGAAGGAACATATGGACTGCTACCATGATCAGACAAATGGTCCATTCATTTTATCTACTTGCCCTCCAAAAGTACCCATTCCTACATGCCTCAGATAATAATGTAAACACCCACAAAAGGGGGTGGGGGAGAGTCACTAATAATAAACTTCTTAATGTCATATAACTTCAAAATATACGTGTTTAAATTAGGGCCTATGAACATTCCTGGTGTGTGATGTACTCGAGTGCCAGACAACGTCTCCACCTTCTATCTTAGCTTCTGAATTGCACCAAAAGATAGCCTTTAATATATATTTTCCTTTCATTTCCTAACATGCAAGCTTTTTCTGGTACTGGCACAATGATATGGTGAGATACTGAATAAGTGCCTCTATGGCTCACGAGGCCATCTTTGTTTTAAAAGATTTCACTGATAGATTTTTACTGACTACTGCAGCTGCTGTAAACTTATGCATTTGCACTGAACAACCTGCATTGATTCTTCCTAAACTTTTGGCTCTAGTGACATCTCAGGGTGAAGTGTCACAGGTTAGTTTGGTATTTGTACATAAAACAAAAAACAGTTTTAAATGGAGCTGATGGAGCAGTGTGGCTGCTACATCATTTGATAGAATGAGTTGGGTTATGCACAGAGACAGAAACATGGTGTCTCTCCACTGTTCCCAATCTTTTCTGGAGTGCATTATTTCAGGAAACACAGGGACTGCAACTGCATCTAGCTTTTGCAGAGGGGCATCAGAGATAGAGAGGGCTACTTGTGTTTTCCACTTCTCTATTCCATGCACTATCAGTTACTTTTAAAGGTAAAGGTCCTAGTTATACCTACAATCCCTAGATTCAGCTCCTAGTGATATCAAACAAATGAGCATTTAGTATATTTTAGCCTCAGACACCTCATATAAATATATTGGAAAGGTGTCATATTTTTTATATAAATCTCAGATACCTCTTAAGGCCATGATGCTAGAAACCTAGTAGTATGAAAAGTTGAAGGGTTGAATGGAAAAGGGTAAGAGGAAAAACCTAATTTGGAGCAGCACGCATTTCGGTTTGACCTTGTGGAGGAAGTGTTTTGTGTAGCAACAGATTTTAAAACATTGTATTTGTATTATGAGTCACATAACATTGATTCCAAGTGATGAGATATCCCAAAGTCTCTCACAGCTTCCAAAATCTGAAAAGTCATTAATATACTAACATTTCTATAAAATATTAATGAGCCTTTTGATAAAAGGTTTCTGTACTAATCGGGTCCCTTTTCTCATACATTTTAATCCCAAGCCTTCTCCCCTCCCATAGATCTTAGTGAAATGGGATGGAAAGGCTATAGAAGATGCTCATTCCTTCTTCCAAAAGAGAGATTGCTTTTGTTTTTTAGTCACATAAAACAATGTAATGATAACAACCAAAACGCTATGAAACCTATTTTAACATGTGTTTCAGTATTATAACAAAATAAGCACATGCTCAAACTCATCCAGGTTACAGAGCATGGAGTGGCATGATTAATTATAATATCAATTTTGCATTCTGATAAATCACATCTTCATTTTAACAAAAACGTATAAGGGAAGGAGCTTTCAAATGGTGATCAGATAACAAATGCAACTCAAAAGCAAAAAAAAATAAAAATAAAATTACACAACATCAGAGTCTGTTACCTGAAGATTGGTTGTTCACTATCAACTTGTGATATCTTTTATTGGACCAAGTGTATAGTTGAGGGACTTGTTGGACAAACTTTCTGGCATCAAATGTCCTTTTCAGGCCTGAGACATGGGCTAGGAACAGACATTCAAAAAGCCTGAGCTTGAATTGATTCCATCTTTACAGGTTAGTCTAACCTGGCTAGATTGAACTGGTTTGTAACCACACAGACATCTCCCCTGGACTGAAGAAATGCAGGCACATGCCTGCAGTGGCTCACGCTAGAAGCTGGGGGTGCTAGAGCAGCCCCCTCTTCCCTTACACAGTGCTGAGCTGAGGGTGGGGCATGGCCAGGCCCTGGCAGGATGCTGTGATTAGGGAGGGCCCTCCCCCCCCACCCGCTGCTCCTCTGACCAGTGATGGAGCCAGCAGAGAGTTACACAGCATTTACTTACACAGCAGAGAGTTGCACAGGGAGTAACAGTGTTTCTCAGCACATCAAGAAAACAAAAGCCTCTTTTATTAGTGAAAACTCTTCTTTAAGCTTCAAAAAGCCCTAAGTGGACACTGTCCTGTCTGCCTTACACAGACACCTCTCAGTATTAGCTAGCATACCACATGCTGGCTATGGTGTGTGCTGTGGGAGGGGAAGGGGGAATCCCTGCTTGAGCAGGGGAGGGGGCTGGGGGGGAAGGATGCCAGGCAGCTGCTGCTATGGCTGCAGTCTCTGCCTGAGGTTCAGCTGGGGAGTAGCAGGGGAGAGCCAATCCTGCTGTGGAGCAGAGCACCCCTCCCAGGGCTGCAAAGCATCTGGGATGCTGGAGGACTCGGGCTTAAAGTTAAACCAGGACGGGATCTGGGGCAGACATTGCAGAAACCGGTTTGACCCAAATCAGTTAAGTCTGATTACTACATTCAACCAGTTTATCTCAAATTGATTTCAACCATTTTCAGACTGGTTTATGTACACTGAACATCTATCCTGTTACAAATTTAAACCAGTTTCTGATCACTTAAACCCATTTGTGTGTAATGTCTGTCCCTAGCCCTGATGGCTATAAACTTGTTCAACAGCTCTCCCAACTATATAGTTGGTCCAATAAAAGATACCACAAAAAACCTTGCCTCTCATGCATTTCCTGAATCTTCACAACTACAACACTCCAAACAATATTTCTATCAAATAAATCTGGGATTCCCCTTATTAAAAAGCAAGTACTTGCAATGATTGCTTCTACAACAGTAACATTTATCACAATAAAAATCTCCTAAATATTTGCTTTCTATAAAGCAGACTACTTAGCTAAAAAAACCTAAAAAAAAAAGTTTATTTAAAAACAATAGCCAAGAAACAGAAACTAGACTTATACAACTCATTTTCATATTCCTACTGCTTCCAAATGACTTGCTTAGTAAATCATTGTCTGTATTTATTGTGTCAGCAGGAC